CTTTTTTTTTTTTTTTGCATTCTTTAAAGAACACAATATGCCAGCATTAACTGCGGTGTCCTTACTCTCCAACAGATATCCTGGGCTTATCCCTCCAACCTAAGAGTAGCTCTGGATCCTTTGAACTCCTCCCACCTCTCCTGCACACTAGCTCCCCTAGCCTCTGGCTGTCACCATTCTATCGCCTACTTCTGAGATCAGCTTTTTCAGTTTTCATGGGTGAGTGAGGTCACGCAGTAGTTGTCTTTCTGCACTTGGTCTACTTTGCTTCACGTCATGTCTTCCAGGTGAGCTGTGTTTCCACAAATGACAGGATCACCTTCTTTTTTCATAACTGAATAGTATTCCCCTGTGTGTATATACCAAATTGTCTTCACTCATTTACCCATTGGAAGACTGTAAGTTGATTTCTAAGTATCTTAGCTACAATAACCTCAAGAGTACAGGCATCTTTTTTGACTTAATGATTACATTTTCCCTGGTTATATGCAGAGTAAAGGGATTAAATATCCATTGATGTGATCACTAACATTAATGTCCACCATTCGTCTGTGAGTTGCATTACCAGGGGCATGTGTGCTTGTTCCCACATAGAGCTTCAGGGCTCGCTGTTAGCACACAGTACATATACTGTGAGCACGATCTGCACAACGAAGGAAAACTAATTTCCTTTTATTCTGCTGTGCAGACATGGCAACTGATGAGGAAAACAGTTAAACACATTTCTCTGAAAAATGATCAAACCCATGTGAAAACCTATCCTTCAATTCTTCTGAAAGCACTTCAACTTTCTCTGTAAGACTTCGGCATGTTGGGTGTGGCTGAGGACCCAGCACTGTCCTCCTGGCTCACGGGCTGCCTGTCCTGTTCTGTCTGAATAGGGCTGCCTGGAAGGGTCTGGATCTGGAGCAGGAAGTGCCAGGAGAAATCCTTCCTCTTCCATGACTCCACCTTCTTGAATATAACAGATAGGATTAATCCAGAAAAATGCAAACCTTTTCCCACATTGAGTCCATTTCCTGCTTCTCTGGGGAAAGCAAAATTTTCCCTGAGGAAATAATACAAAGGCATTGGAATATCCTTAAAAGGCCCCAACACAAACTACTGCTCTGAATTGACTGTTTCCTTCTGTCCATTTGTGCTGTCCAGTCCTGTCTCACCGTGATTTCCCTGTTCTAGTTTCAGGTTCCTTGTCAGTAAAATGGGGTTGATGTAAACACAAGTCATCCCCATCTTCCAGTTACTATGGAAAGCCAAACACACGAAAGCCCTTGAGCCTCTACACAGGGTAACATGAATAGTACTGAGTGCCATGATCACAACAAGGCACTGCCACCAGTCTCCTGGAAGCCCTCAGGCCCCACCTTCCTTCTTTGCACCTCCAGGCCTTATACACAGACAAGCAATCTTTTTCGTTATGACACATGAGAGGAGGTTTGTGGCCACTGACTTTGCAAGAAACGACCCTGGGTCTTGCTCTAGCAGACCTGAAAAAATTCACAGGACACTGAATGTCCACCTCACTTCACAATTTTTTCAAGACAAAGAGTGAGCCAAGAGTCAAGTCCTTGGTGAAAACCGTCATGTCATTGCCAGCACAGTCTTACACTGTAACAGCTTTTGTATGTCTGTAAAATGCCGTTTCTGTTTGTTCCATCCTAGTAGCTCTATCAATGAGTGATCCAGCACCCACTTCCTTCAATAAAATGCAAAATTCTACAAGCTCCCTACAATATATGAGCACTCAAGCTGTACTAATTTATTCTACAATTACTTTTATTTTTCAGTATTTTCACTCAGCTCTTATACTACAAAATTAATGGTGTTTACACAGAAATGTTGTTTAACTAATGTAAATGGCATAAGTGGATTACTGAGCAAGCCTGCAAACAAATAAACATTTTTCTCCTTCTAAAATGTTCCTTGCTCTTTCCTCTGAATGTCTTCCAGGAGAGCAGAGTTTTAGAAATGTCAAAATGGATACAGAAATCAGGCTTCTAAGGGCTACCCTCCCCTAGCCAGACAGCTTTGTAATTCTGTTTCCTGCAGTGGCTGGGCTACAGGCAGCCCATGGTGACCCCAGTGACCCAGCCACATCCCAGCTCAGAAGTCTCTCTTTTCTTTGGGAGGTTGCCACTGTTTTCATCCAAGACTTTAAACACAACAGTATCTGGCCCTGACAGATCATTTCCACTGGAGTTTGCAATCTTGGTGAATGACAGACTCAAGAGATAAACAAACATGGCCACTCCAAAGATTCAAGAAACACTAGGGAAGAAAATCTACCAAATTTGTGAATACTTGCACCATCATGATATGTCACTTATTGTAGCAAATTCCAACATTGTATATCCCAGTGAAAGTTCCACTGCAAGTTCTTTGAGTGGCAGCTCTGAGCCAGACTCCTGTCAAGATATCTATAATTTCTCTAAGGTATCTGAAAGGCTGGGACCGACATCAAATGCCATTTCTTTATTCCTGCTGTCCCCCAGAGCAAAGGCCAAGAGGCCAGTGAGGATGCTACCTCCTGCTGCATTCACCTGCCTATCCTTGGGAGACCTCAGGAAGGGGGCCTTTCTCAGGAGGAACAGATGTGACTCCCTCTAGCATCCTTGGAGTTATCTCAGGAGTCATATGCCAGATTGGACCTGCAGACTTCACTGAAGAGGCCTCATCCTCAGAGCTGACCACTCAGCTGACACGGCCTTGGGATCTAAGAAAATTCAATCTATCAGAGTTCTGAAGGAACATTCCAGAATACCAAGATCCCCATATCAGCTAAGTCCCAGGACACAGCCTAAAGTTGAAGTCCAGAATTAAAGGACATACAGTCAAAAGCCCCTGAGATGCATGTTCTGGGTGGACAAAACTATAAACATCCAGTGCTACTTTAAGATCTTCATATTCTCCAAACACTCCCTTGAAGAAAACACAAAGTGTAGCCATTCCACATTAAATAATTTTCCTATAAAGGTATTTTTAGAATTTCATTTTTTAAATTGTTTGGCTAACGTATCTAACTTAAAATAGGTTGTGTTCTCTTGATACATATATTCTGAAACTTGGTGAGAGCATCTCATCTGAAAAAAAGGTTTTCAAATGTAATGAAGTTGTTACCAGCATTTAATTCACCCATTAATGAAGCTGACAACGCATTTTATTAAGCGACCACTGAAGACATGTTTATTAATTTTGTTTTGGATGATCTTCTTTTATTCCAGAGACAATCATTCTTTCTGGTTGAACTCTAGACATTTTCTCCAAGCAAAACTGGAATGCCCAGTATTGTAAGTCCTGCACCCAGGTGCCAAACTTGTACCCTGGGCGCTTGGCACTTTGGCACTTGGCATGATGCTCACATGACTAAGCATCAACCACTAAGAGACTTCAGGCCAGGGATTGCCATTCTCAATTGAAATGATAATAGGAAGGTTCTAATTCTTGTGCCATCACTCAATAATCCAAGAAATTCTTACTAATTAAACTCATATTCCAGAAAGTCAGCCCCTGGGAGAAATTTGCTCCTCCCCAATGCTTAAAACACTTTCTGTGTCATCGACACCTTTGGTAAAACTATTCTTTCCTTTCATCATGTGAAATTGGATTTCATAAATTCAATTTATTTTAAGAAGTTTCACTTTTCTTTAAGAAATGAGATTTGGAAGCTAATCTGGAATTTACTTTTTTTTCACAGCTTTTCCATCTCTTCACAAAACGTTAAGTTATGCAGGCTCCACCAAGGTGTTTCTAACCAGGTTCAAGATGACTTCTTCAAAGCTAGTCTATCAGGAGGTGTTAGGTGGGGCGCACTTTACTAAGCGATTTTTTTTGTTGTTCCTTCAGAAAGATTAGTTCTTATCAGAGTGCATCACCTCAAAAATAACCATAGGTAGTCTGTTGCCAGTCATAAAATCCCCTTTAAGCTGCCGGCAAACGCTGAAGTGAAAAGTATGAGCCTGGAAATTCTACTGTCTAAATGTGTCCTCTAGAAATATCACAGAGTAAGTACGTTTTGTTTAAAGGACTCATCCCTGACCTTGGTTTGCTTTATAACTTTCTTGAATCACTTGAATATACAGTGACTGTGTTGTGCCATGGATACCCGCCTCAGAGTACAAGATAAATCCAACTCCTAGCCACCACCTTCTAGCTGCGAGCCCAGGCAAGTTCTGCACGTATGAAATGGCAGTAGTAATATTCCACAGGATGGCCCTCAGCTTTGAGTGCTGCTACCACGACATGCCCTGCTGGTTCCTCGTTATGACAGGACACCACACTAGGACTACCCCGTGGCCTCATTCATCTTCCAACTTAAACCGTTCAACCCTCCTCCTTTCCTTTCCAAAAAGGATGGATCCTTACAGAAGGAAAAAGAACCAAAGAATCTCTTCAATGTCATTGCCCCATAGGGACCAAAACAAAAAATAAAAGAATAAAGCAAATTCCTCCAGTTGGCATCAACACACATACAAAAGGTGCTGCCGCCCCAGCATTTCCAAGGCTCTCCCGGTTCCCTCTCCGGGTGCCTCTGCCTCTGGAGGGCCCAATCTCCTGGGCATCCCCTGCCCCAAGCTGCCCCGAGGGGTGCAGACCCACCATGGCTTCCCAGCAAGGCACTTCACTTAGGATGCAAGTGGTCTAAGCAAAGGTCAGCTTCGTAAGACCAGCCTGTCTCCGCGATTAAAAACAAACAAAACAACAACAAAACACGTCGGGGAAGGTTTTGAAGTCAGTTTTGCTCGTCGAATTCCCAGTAACCTAACCACAGGAGGAGGGCAGTAAATACTAATCAACGCCTGTGTGAGCCGAAGGGGTTGGCTCGCCGCCCTGCTGGCTCCTTAAAGTTTTCCCAGACTCGGAGTCACGTTTCGGCGGTTTGCTGTTAGGTTTCGGTTTTTGCCCCCCGTTTTTTCACCTGCGGCTGTGACACCAGAGTTCAGAGCAGTGGGACCAGGGTGCCCAGGCTGCGGGTGCGGGCGGAAGTGGGAACAGGCGGAAGTGCCGCGCGCGGGCGGAAGCGACGACGGGGGCGGCGCGAGGCGCAGGTGGGTGAGGGCGCGGGGTCGGCGCGGTCCTTCCTTCGCCCTGGCACAGGGTGCCCGTTAAGATTGACTTTAAAGGGATTTTAATTAAATCGGGAGTGCCGGAGGCAGGTTTTAAGCGTGCGAGTGCGCGCGCGTGTGTAGGCTGGCTCTCTGGGAGATGAAGACATGAGCAGGAAAAGGCAGCTTTTAAAAGACAGAAAGTAGACAACACCCCAACTTCAGCCTTGCACCTGTCGTTCTCAGAGACGTCCTGTCCCGGGTTTGATTGGACTCTGGAGTGACCTGTTGCCACTTTTGGCAGCTTTTAAAATTGCATGTTGCTGAGACCCCCACCCCGACCCCCCAGGTTGACTTTGCTTTGGGGTGAAAAGGGTGGCAGCTGCTGGAGGAAGCGCTGGAGAGCTGAGCTGTGAGGACCTCCTCCCCGCCTTCCTGGGCAGAACCATCCCTGCCGACCCTTAACAAGCAGAGAATCAGAGACTGTACCATTCTCAACAGACACTTAGCTTTGTCAGCCACCTGTGACAAACACCAGCTCACACTGTTTTTTAATGGATCCAACGGTAGCAAAGGCCCCACTGAATTGTGCCAAATATGCACAGACACTGTTTTTGAGACTTTTGCCTAGCGATGTTCATTCCTGTTTTCCAGTGGGATCGTGGATCCATGGACTCTTAGATTTCAGAGCCCTTTAAGCAAGTCCACGGTTCCACAGCATGGCTCTGCTTGTCCCAGCACAAGCAGGGCCTGCAGCCTTGGATAAGAAGCTCCTGTCAGTGTTGGGGCCACTGGGAGAGAAGCAGCCTTCTCATTTAGTCATCTTCTGGCTCATACAACATGAAGAAACTCACTACCAATACTAGAAGCTACAGACGTAAACGCAAGGAGAGATGAGTAACACCTGAAAACGAGGGTGTGCCCTGGAAACAGTGATGACAGCAATACAGGGATCAGGCAGAACTGATCACGGTTCTGTGTGAAAGGTGCCAGCCCTGTAATCTGGATCCCGGGCTGCTGGGAAGTACAATTACATAGAATCATAATGGCCCGGTTGTGAAAAATCAAGATTAGTGGGGCTGGCAGACAGGCAGGATCCCTAGATTTTCTTTGTTCCCTACTTACTGTGGTCAGTAGTGGCTCCTGCCATAGAAGAATTAATATTTTTTTATATCCTTCACCAAAGGAGTACGTAGCAATGTGGTTTATGTCCAAGGACCCTAGGTAAGTAAGTAATAGAATGAAGATTTTCAGTGGACAGATCTTCCTCTCTGAATATCCAACTTTCCAATAAAAAATAAATAAATCTTTTTTAAAAAAATGAGGATATTTCCAGTGTTTGGATTAATTGCGTGGTGTTTCTTTTTTGCTGTGGATGCCTGGCTCTGTTATTGTCTTAAGTATTCAGAAGCACTGTGGAGCAGTGTCTTCAAAATAAGTTATTTCTTTTATTATTAAGGTTTTGTATTTCATAACTTATATAGACTGCAGCCAGCTGATGCTTTCAGTTTCTCTAATGCTAAGTAGTGCCTGGGGTTTCAAATGTAGCAAGACCTTGAGGTGATCTGATACAAATAGTAAGGGTTTTTTTATGTCCTTCATTTTAAATCTGATTTTTTGCAACTGTTTATTCAAGGAGTGTACATCAGAAGAAGCAAGAAGCGAGCTGGAATAGTTCCTGAATGCAATTTTAATCTTGTTTGCAGATTATTTTGAAGTGAGAAAGACCATCTGAATCAGGTATGTGTAGCTACACAAGTAGCAGGGGCTAACTGAGCTTCCTCTGTCCTTCTTATATAACACAGCAAAAGCATGCATAATGAAAAGCTATGGCCAAGTATAGCATAAATAGTTTACTTCCCTAAGACCCCATTCTAGGAAGCATAAAAACATTACTTCTCATTTTAACTCTACTTCTTACCTAAGTTAAACTTTCCATAGAAGGCACAAAACCCAAAGTGTCTGTTTTTAGAAAGTATCCATCACTGTGGGTTTCAGAGCATTTCACCAGTAGTATCGCGTCCCCTTGGCCTTCGTCATTGTGGTATTATCTTATTCCTTTATCAGCTGTTCATCCCTGGGTTCCTCTGGGTCAGGGATGATAAGCTCATTGTGTTCCTGGCCCAGTGTCTGTCACAATGGGAGTACATAGTACATGCTATAGAAGGGAACAGGCAGAGCCCTAGAAAGGAAACTGAATCAGCACAGAGCATGGGAGCAACACCAGGATGCAGGAAAAGAACCTAAAGCAGTCACCTCTTCAATTACTAGGTACACTGGAAGCAGTGCTTCCTGATGGGAGAGGGAACCCAAACATGGTCACCAAAGTGGCTTCCAAGGGAATCTGGTCTGCTCAGTTACAGGGCCTTTGTTATGTTGGTGGAAGATGCCACAGCCCTGACACCACACTCCCTCCAGGCCAGCCCTGCTCAAATCCGCTGAAATACCTGTTTAGCAGATAGTTGAAACGTGCTCTTTTGAAGGTGTGCCAAATTGTTAGCTTACCAAGGTCAGAAGTATCTTGGTTTGGTCCTATGTTAAGTGTTTAGGACCTGGTTGTGGTCATTATTTTAAGTCTAGGAAATAAATGAAATAAATAAAATGGAAGGAAATCCGTACTTTTATTTTTCTGCTTAACTAACAATATCTCAAAGGAACCTAAAGTTGACAGTGTTTTATGTTGTCACAGGGCAGTCATGTGACATGTGCTGCTTCCTTTTGTTGCCAATAGGATTGTAGCAGAAATCAGAAAGTTACAACTGGAAGCAAATGAACTTCCTCTCATTGTTCTAGAACGTTTTCAATTTAATTATGAAATAATGGGGAAATGGTTTCTGGTTTAGTCAGATGGGAAGGTCATGGCATTGAATTATTTGTTGTTTTTAACTCTTTTCTTCTTAAAACACCTCGACCTCCCAGTCAGCCAGTAGAAGGGATTCTATTATTTAAAAGGAACTCGGTCAACTGAGGCAACTGAAGAAATAAGCTTGCGAAAGAGATTTAAGTTCAGTTGTTTTTCCACATTCAAAAATGAAATTATGTGAATTTCTTTACATCTGCAGACCAAAGCCTTCTGCAGTAAGAGAATCCTGCCTCTCAGAGCTGAGCCTTTTCTCAATTTTTTCTCTGTCTTAAAGTTAAACCTCAAACAAAGCATAAAAGCTCTTATAGCACCATATAGTCAGAGGACTTCCTGAGATTTTATTTTTTTAAGAAAAGGAGTTGAAATTAGAAATCCCTTCTATTTTCAAAAAAAAAAATCTGTGTTGTTCACATCTATATAAAAATACTCATTGGTCTAAGAGAAACAGAGCAATGAACAAAAAAATGAAATATGAAAGATGGTTAACAGTTCCTTTGTTCATAAAATGTGGGGACTCTCCAAAGTCACCTCCTGATTCCAAAATATTAAAACATTCCATCAGTGATACTTGTCAAAGAACGGAATAGGGATCAAAAGATTGTGGCATGTCCCATAGCTGAAGATTGCCCAGACAGGACTCACAGCATGCAGTCTGAGCAGCATCTTCATCAGGCCCAAGCCTCCTGGGTGTCTCAAGACACGACTAGGGAAATGCTGAGCTTACAACTCAAATATCCAAAGCTGCGTTGGCTCCAGAATGGCTACAAATGAATGAAACATCTTTCAGCTCTTTGTGGTCACAGGAATAACCTCACCTCTTTGATAAGAGGAATCAGGAGTAAGTGGAATATTAGGGACAGACATTCCCTAGGTGGATGAGTTTTGAATTTCAAACAGTTGTTTTTTTCAAAATGGAACTGTATGTTTGTTAAATAGCAAGGAAACTGGCATTACTGGGTATAGTATGATGAAGATGTTTTAATGAACTTGGCTTCAGGCTGGGACAGTATTAAGCACCAGAGGTACCTTCAAAGGGAAGGGGTCATGTTGGTTAAGACAGATAATGTGGGAAGGAGTCTGCATAATTCCTTATGCACTTTGTCCTCTTCCCTTGAACCAAAATGATTGTGCCTTCGTCTTAATGCTATCTTTAGGGAATGAAGGAAATTTCAAATTGGTTTTTAAACTGTATTAAACCCTCATGTATGATATAACCCAACTACATTATGCAGGTTTTCTTGGCTCTCCGGAGCAGCTTTGCAGCCATTATGTCATAATTGAACTGAACATTGTTGCACACTCTGAATATGAAATATGCTGCTCTGGCTCCAGGACAGGTGCTGAGTCAGTATTTTGGAGGCTTAAGGATGGAGAGGAGGGGTCTAGTGTCTGCAGACCCTGTTATGGTTAACGGTAGTCAGTCCAGAACCTCCTCTGAGTTCCCAATACCGGAGCTGGTGTGTCTTGGAAGTCCATGAATGTTCTTATTGATTACCATGTTTCTTTTTCTTCTCTGCATGTTTTCCTGGAAACCCTTCTCTGATACTGTTGTAGACACCAACCCCATTACTGAGAGATGCATGGGAAGTGGTGATCTGGAAAGAGTCACTGCTCAGGTCCAAAGATTCTAAACAAACGCTTGCTTATGCCAAAGCTTTCTCTTCCCTTCTGTTTCACATATGTCAGCTTGCCCTGGCTGAGCAGAGGGCAGCACTCTGGACATGCAGGGGAGGCCAAGGTGCAGAGGACTTTAAGTTAATAAAACTGTCCCAATAGTAAGAGAGCAAAATGTATTATTCTTTCCCTTGGTCTCAGGTGCTGAAACAGGTGCACTCTGAGTACCCAAGGCCACTCTCTACTACCACCAGCCTGGTCCTGACACCTAGGTCCTAAATGATTCAGGATCATTTTCTTAGGGAATCACCTTCAATCTCGGCCCATGGCACTCTTTTTTTCCTTTGCTATTCAACATCCAGTTACATGCTAAATTCAGTCTTCAGTGAGTTCATAGAAAATGTGCATTCTCTTTGAATTCCATGTTCCCACAAATTTTTTGAAGTACCATCACATGCTTCTGTTGTAATCACTCCTGTGATTACCTATGTATTTATTTGTCCTTTCTCTGACTTGGTTTCATAGCTCTTTGTGGGCTGAAATCTCTCTTTTTTTCATCCTTCCTTGTGGAACAAGCAAGTGAGTGATACCATCAGCTTACCATCAGCTTACTGATCACTGTGAAGGCCAACATAACTTTTATTGTCTTAGTTAAGAATTTAATACCAGACACTCAGAACTGCATCTGCCTTTCATGTTACACTCTGTCACATGTGGAGCTGATCACTCCATGCAAGAAGTTTAGAGGGAAAGCAATAGTTCCAACAGCAAGCAGGATGACAAAAAAAAAAAAAAGTGGTGGCTTAATTTCACTGAGTATTTGAATGAGGTGAATGGGGTGTGCCCGTGCTGAGCAATGGATGGATAAATGCCACATTCCTTCAGTGGGATTGTAATCGTGCTGGGCAGGCAAGAGCCACAAGTCAGACAGCTGAAGAACTCTGACACAGAGCAGTATACAAATTAACATAGCATCCATGGTGTCCCAATAATGGAACCCCACCGTCATGTTAATTGAAAGGAATAAAAAGGGAGTTTTGTCTTTAGATACTCATGTGACCCATCAGTCCTTTCTGGACTGTGCTTATCTAGTCCCCTGCCTTCTCACCACCCCCGATTAGAGGTGATGAATTTGTGGGCACTAAAATCTAGAAATGCAACTGCAGGGAAGGAGTGTGGTTTGAGGATCTGCATCTCACCACCCCCACAGTGGGGCATGCTGCAGACCAAGTCAGGACCCAGTCACATCTGAATAGTGAGCAGTGCAGTCTGCATAATCAGAAGGAAACTGAGATATATTCACAGCTAGATCCTCAACTCTGAAGCTTTATTGCTACAGCTTGCCTGAGTTCTCCCTGGCCAGGTATCATGACTGCTCGGCCAGGGCACTAAAAAGGAAAACACCTGAGATCTCACCTCCACCAGTAAGACAGGCCCCCATTCCTTCTAAAACAGAAGCTTCTTTCCAGCCTCTCTTAGCCCTAGGAGCCCCTGCTTGGATGTCAGTGTACAGTTTGTCCCCAGAAGTGCTTCTCCTCGTCAATCTTGGCTCCCTAAGAGCCATTACCTCTCCTGCCCTTGCACCCCAGCTCCCAAGCTCAGCTCCCACTGATTTTAGAGACATAGCTGACTGACCCAAAGCACAGAGGAACAGGAGGATGTGTCATGTGTCTCTCTATTTCGTAGACAAGGAAGAACAGATAACCCAGGCGAATCCCTTAACAGTGCCTTCCTCTTCACACAAATGTTCAGCAACCCAAAATAATGGGTTTTCTTCCCCAACAATGGTGTGGAGGAGGGCAGTATAGACAGTAATGGATGTTGACATGGAACACTCATCTTCTCCCATGGCATGGTGATGGAAGTGAAGCCCTTAGCCTCTCTGTGTGGAACAGGAAGGTTCAGTGAGAGCCAGGGAAATAGTGGTTGGCTGGTATCAGCTCAGCATTCAGTTTACATTGCACTCTTATCAAGAAGCTGCAGCATCATCTGTTAATAACCAGGGTCCTACCTGGGCTTATGTGCACCTCGATGTGCACATGAACCAGCACTGCAGCCTGCTGAGGATGTGGGAACATGTGAACCTGATTTGTGCACCAGAGGATTCTGGTCAGTGAAAGTCAGTTTCTGTACTCAAGGTGGGGGAACATGTTATTTCCCTTCCAATCAGACACACATGGTGCTTGCAGCATCCAGAAGCTTTGCATAAGTGATGTGCAGCCATAGGCTGGGCAGCTTCTCAAGCAAGAAATGAATAATCCTAATGAAGGCTCAAACGACCCTGGCTTCCTTCTGTAGTGTAATCAGTCGCTGTGATGATATGCCCTTCAGTGCTGCACAGGGAAATGCTATAAAGTTAAGTTATCTTCCTTACGTGTTGCAGGGAAGCCTGAATTGGTCCAATCAGTCCTCCCCCATGCTGCATTTCATTCCACCATAAAGACCACTGAAGTCGGCCTCCATGCGGCTGAAAGGCCAGCAGCTCCTCTCTATTTCAAGGTGATGTGTACCTCTGAGCAGCCTTGGACTTGAAACAGCAGGAGTCACCATCATTATTGTTAGGCTGTGGAATTTAAACACATTCTAAATCCAGTCTTGTGGCTTTTGCTTTTTTTCTAAGTCTATGACAAAGGTGACCCAGTTGCGCTACCTTTATATTATGAACACAGCTCTTTTTACTCACATCAGAGACATGTTCAGCAAAATTCAGAGGGTAAAACCATGTCTGTGTGTGTAGTAAGGACATGTATTTCATGACTAAACTCAATGACATAATCAAAAAAGTGTTGTCCTCTCATAGTCCTGAGCTTACAGGGAGACTGCTTTTCAGAGTGTTTTTTATAGTGCAAAGATACTGTTCAAAAATAATCGAACTAATGAAAATGTCACATTGACAGAGTAGCCCATATTAAGATTTTACTTCCAGAAGGTGTGATTCAGTGAATGTGACATTGACAGCAATGGCATTAGGTTTACAGAGTTAGTAAAATGCTCTCAAGGAGAACATTACAGAGCTCCTACTGGAATGTATCTTTTGCTCATTCTACCTCTTCTTTTCTAGAATTAGTAGATTCTGGGAAGTATGAAACTTTGGCCATCATATCTGCCTAGGAGAGCTATAGAGAATTTCTTCTTTCTATTACACTCTAATAGAACTTTATAACCCAGTGCTTCCAAAGAAATAAGTTAGTTTAACAACATAATAAAATGTGTGTACAATAGGCATTTGAAAAAATGTACAGGTGGTAATACATTTCTCAGTAAAAACTGCACCATGTTTAAGTGATTAAAAGCATGTAAAAAGGTAGGAGTAGAGGGTAGCTGTAGAAAAGAGAACTAGTTGTAATTAGAATGGTTGTGGCCTCACTGAAGACTTTACTCAGCTCTGGGTTGGCTGAACAAATATTCCAGCAAATCTGGAATGAATTGCAACTATGTTTACTATGGCAGGTTTTATTTGTCTTGGGTACAACCAAGACCACATGCTGTGTTTTGTCACACTGGAAATCCTGTAGCAGATTTCCATTGTGAATGTGAATTTTTTTAAAAGCCTTAACACTGCAGTCTCAATTCACTGAGGTAAAAGCAATAAGTTTTTCTTTCCTTTCCTGCCAGACATCAATAAATCTTCAATCCCTCCACCAAAAGCATGTCGCTGCAGTTCTCTGTCCTGGTTATATAGTCTCAGGTCACAGCGATAAATGGCCCCATCCTTCTCATATCTAAGGCTGGCACATCTGCCTTTTTAAAAAGCTAATATATATTTCCTTTCTCCTCCATGTACATCATAACAGCTTTAGTCCTACATCCCAGGAGGGTGTGCCACTGTTGGACCAAGCCCTCCCAAACCCACTGATACAAAATTTCCACGTAGGGTAAAACAGCTAACATTCTGGTTTCCTCTTGTTGTTTATAGCTGGGTGGGCAAAGCTATGTTTTAACACCTGTGTACCTCACCATTCATCAAATGAAGCTGCTAATTCTGCTTAATTTACTGAAAATGCATATTCTGGTGCTTAATACTTAGCTACGAGTATCACAGAACACTATGAAATTATGTAGACTAACTTTCTGCCTTGGAATAATGCTGACTAGTAGATTCTTGCAAAATCCTCATCATCTTCCTTCCTTATACATCGCCAGGATTGGTTATTTAGAGTGAAGAATGATCATTGCTTTTATGAATCCATTACCAATCTTTTTCTCTTGTGGTCTTTATTCTAGATTGATATGGGTTGGTGGTTTTCTCCAAAGTCACATTCTGTTTGAAATGAGTTTAAAGCTAATCTTACACTGAGGAGTCTAGTCACCAGTGAAGATTAGCAGTTAATTAATGCAGTCATGCTCTATGGAGCAGAAACAGGCGATTCAGCATGGTGATGGAGAAGGATCAGAACAAGCTGCAATGTCCCATCTCTGATTCTTATGAACATCTCTAAAGAGCACTAACATTTAGTTATCATATGAGATAGGACCAAATAGTGGCTGCTCTAAACGCCAAGTGTCTGAGTAGGAGTAGAAGAGAAATTAAAGAGGGTTAAAGGCTAACTCCAATTCCTTTAACCTTTGAACAAATATTTAACCATCCCTTATGTGCCAGGTTAATTGTGGGGCTTCGAAGATACAGGGGTGAAAAAACACCTGATCTTCTAGAACTTATGTTGTGCTAGAGAGGACATATATAAATTTATACAACAAAGGATAAAGGAAAACTATTTCAAGGCATGGGGATGGAGAATGATAGGATGGCCAATAATGCTGACTATCACTATGAGGTTTCTTCAGGCAGATGATATGAGAGCAGCCCAAATAAGAAGCTACTTATTAGCTTTTATTGCATGGGAAAACCAAGTACAAAGATCCCAGTGGAGCCAGTATTGTGGCATAGCAGGTAAGCTGCCACCTGTGACATCGGCATCCCATGTGAGCAACAGTTTGAACCCGAGCTGTTCTGCACAGTCCCACTCCCTGCTAATATGCCTTGGAGAGCAGTGAAAGATGACTGAAGTGCTTAGGCCCCTACACCCACATTGGAGACCCAGAAGAAGCTTTGGGCTCCTGGCTTTGGCCTGGCCCATCCAGCCATTGTGGCTATTTGGAGAGTGAACCAGTAGAAGAGTGCTCGCTCATGTGCTCACTCGCTCTCTCTCCCTCTCTGGCTTTCAAACAAATAAACAAAATTTTTTTAAAAGAGAAGAAAAAAGTCTTGAGGAAGAAATTATTTGTCGATATTCAAAGAATAAAGTTGTACAACATGTCAACATGAAAGAGAGGAAAATAATAGAGAGGGTAAGGGAGAAAAAGAAAGAAGCAGTGTTAGCAAATGATGATTTCAAGGAATGAGTTCAGCTAGGGAATACTGATAAAGGATAAAGGGACACATGTATTTTGAAAATGAAGTGATAAAATTTATGGCTTTAAAGGCAAAGCTGGAGGCTCAGTTAAAAAAACAGGAATAACAGGCTATCTTATTACAAGCATAGTAGCAGGATGAGTAGCTTCAAACCCGAGTGTTTGACATGCTGCTATTAAGCTGTTCCTACTGGAATCTCTCCAGTAGAAACATAATACATTTGTTTGTGAAATTTTTAAAAGTTAAAGTGGCATACATGACAGTCTCCTTTTAAAATAATTCTTAAGGAGTTGAGTAGGTAGTATTTTTGTGACAAGTTAACTCGGCCTGATTCCACCTGGTAGTTCCTCTAAGTACAGCTGTATAAGTTAGTTCGTCACAGCTTGTGATGCCAGCACATATGAGAGCACCAGTTTGAGTCCTGGCTGTTCTACTTCAGATCTGGCTCCCGGCTCATGCAGCAGGATATGCAGCAGCTGACAGCCCAAGTGCTTGAGCCCCAGACGAGCTGTTATAGCCATTTCCGGTAAATGGAAGATATCTCTCTCTCTCTCTGTTGCTCTACCTTTCTAATAAATAAAGAAGCAAATGCACCTTTTTGTTTCCCCATGTCTTCTAGCAGAGGGCATGGATCTCATAGGAGGACGCCTCAGCCTTCAACTGGAGTCATGTGCTGCTCATTTATCGTTTCCTGGTGACATTGAGTATGTGCCAGTATGATAAGCTGTCATTGTAAATAAAAGCCAAATCGAGAAACTGCCACGTTTTAGGGGACAAGAATCTGCAGGTGAAACTTAATTTTGCATACAACTTTTAAAATCCATACAGTTTACTTATAGAAACTAAGTGATCAGGCACATAGCTAATCCATAATTATGGAATGCCTTTTCATTCAAACTTCTGGAATACAGTGAATGGAGATGTTCCAAACACCAGGGCCTCTGCCATTCCTGGGCTCCAGGGAACGATGCTGAAGCCCTCATCCCCTCCTAAGCTTGCCACTTAGTTCCTGTGTTGTAGAGAACAAAGTCCAAATCACAGAGTTGACTGGTTTATTTTTCTTTGGCAGAATTTAGATGCTTTGCTTTCAAGGAAATAGCATGCAGCTTGCCAGATCCTCCTTTAGAGTCTTCTGGAGACATCTCTCTGCTTCTAAGACAACTCTGCCAGTGCTGACTTTATTCACAAAGGTACCGGGGGGCGGGGGGGAATGACTGCTTTATGAATGTAAAGTATTAGAATTGTTGTGTGAACAAAGTTGTACATTTAAAGAAAAGGGACAAAGTGGGAAGGAAAGGCACTGGAATAAACTTTCGGCAGACTTGCTGCTCAGTTTTTCTATCAGCACAACCAGGAACTCTGTTTCCTTCCTCAGATACCTCATTGTCTCACAGTAGTCGGGGGTAAATTAATGTGTTTAATGATCACCTAACCACTACATTTTTAAGAAAATTATAAATTATGATGCTTAAAATGTATCATTTAAAAATACAGTCAACTTTATTTGTGATGATTTGTGTTCTAAAACACAGTTATAGACATTGATTTAGCAAAAGCTGAACTGTTACTCCAAGAAAAAATAGAGTTCAGTTCCTAAGAGTCTCTTGGCTCAACATTTTCATAAACAGTTAAATACACAATCTTATTTTATGTGTTTTTCTGTTTAAAGGCTCCTTATTTATATTGTTGATCATTAAGATTGAACTCAGGGCCAGCAGCACTGGAGCTCAAGCCTGAACAAAGCTAACACAAGTCTTCTCCATAAGGCACATCTTGACTTTTTTTCCTTTAGATTAGTTTATTTTATTTATTTGAAAGGCAAAGTGACAGAGAAAAGATCTTCCATCCACGTGTTCACTCTGCAAATGTTCTAGCCATTGTAGGATGGAATGAAAGCAGGAGCTCAGGACTCCATCCAGGTCTCCAACATGTGTGGCAGAGCCCCAAGTACCTGAGATATAACCTCTGCCTCCCAGTGTGCACATGATGATGCTGAATCCAATCCAGAACTCAGTTCTAGACACCTTGACAAGTTAACCACACATCCCAAGGAGCAGCCTAAAACACTGTGCCCCAGTGCCCAGCCTGATCCAAGCCTAAAGCTTAGGAACACGGAACAGCTTTTCAGCACCGTTGTTGAAGGCTGTTTTAACTAAAAACAAAAAACAAAAAACTGCAAGAAATATGGCTCTAAATGTACCCTAAAGAGGCTACTATCTTAGGCTTAATAGTGGGAAAGCTAAAACAAGAAGGCAGGGTACTGTCTTGTTAAATCTTACCATGGAGATTAGGCAACACAAATTCTTCTATGCTGTGTACATACACATCTATGAATGACCACAAAAATGCTTCAGCTATTGATTTGGGGTAACAGACAAATTTTAGCAAGTTGGCAATTCACAGATAAAAATGAAGGTTGCTTGTTTTCTTATCCATGATACAAATTTTAAACTATAAAGCTAGTTTGCCATTTTTAAGAACTTTCCCCCCACAAATTTATAATATGACCATTACTGACTTTTTTTTTGCTAATTAGCATCACTTTCTGTTATTTACAATCAAAAAAGAAATAGAGGATAATAAAAGTAATTTATTTGCAGTTCAAATTTTAAAAGGTCTATAAATTTGAAAATTTTAGCAATTTAAAAATACCTAACTAGGGGCCCTGCGCGGTGGCGCAAGTGGTTAAAGGTCCTCGCCTTGCACGCCCGGGATCCCATATGGGCGCCGGTTCTAATCCCGGCGGCCCCACTTCCCTTCCAGCTCCCTGCCTGTGGCCTGGGAAAGCAGTCAAGGACGGCCCAAAGCTTTGGGAACCTGCACCCTCGTGGGAGACCCAGAAGAGGCTCCTGGCTTCGGATCGGCATAGTATCGGCCCGTTGGGCTCACTTGGGGAGTGAATCATTGGACGGAAGATCTTCCTCTCTGTCTCTCCTCTCTGTATATCTGCCTTTCCAATGAAAAAATAATAAAAATAAATCTTTAAAAAAAAATACCTAACTAGGTTTAAATAGTTCTTAAAAATAATTTCTTGTTGATAATATTTAACCTAAACTTTCATTCCATATATGTATATTGTACTATTGGAAATTATGTACTCAAAAGCATTTTATTGCGCAAGAGACTATAATCAGAAAGGCATATAAAAGTTAACTACAAAAAGAAAACAGATCCTGAAGACTAGTACACTCATTTGGCATAACTGTTCTGCTGTTTTCAAGAGCTTGCCAAAGCACTGGTCAAATAAAACACCCACCTTCCTCTTGATCTGTGCTAGTAAATACATACTAAGGTATCACTCCGCACCTTCAGGAATCAATAACCAAATGAAGGATTTGAAGTATGGTATCAACTCTTGATATTTTAGAAATCTTGAAAAGTACCTCCCAGAGTGACTTAAATAAGAAAAGGATTATATGGGCTGACTGATTTTAGGAATAGACTGACACGGGAGCCAAGCATGTTCTCAGTCTCTTTAGCTTCACCTCCATAGGGCAGACTACTTCTAACTGCTCCCCACCTCTCAGACATTACAGAAACTCCAGCAAAATTCTTTGTGGACTCTGACTGGCCATCCCTCAGACATTCTTAACTAAGAGGGATAAGGTACATTGATTGCTTGAGCCTAGGCTAGGTACACCACCTTTGGAGCTCAAGATGGAGTAAGGCATACTTAGAACAGCTGCTGTGAGGCAGAATCACAGCACTTGTACTACAAGAAAGGGGAGTGAACAGTACACAGCTCACTTAGCAAGTATGCACTACAACTCAGGAACAGAGTAACAAGTGCTTTGGAAAACCCTAGAAAAGGATATTTGAATTGTCCACACTACTGGATATCATCCTTTCTTGATTCCTTATCTATTTAAAATTTAGGGTCTTGCATTGTGGCACAGCAAGTTAAGCCATCATCTGTGGCCCCAGTATCCCAGATATTCCTTCCCATCTAGCTCCTTGCTGATGCACTTGGGAAAGCAACAGAAGATGGCCCAAGTACTTTGTTCCCTGTTACTCATGTGAGAGACCCAAATGGAGCCCTGGATTTCTGACATAACCTGTCCCAGTGTAGCCTTTGTAGTCATTTGGGGACTGAACCATTGAGTACAAAGAGAGTACATGTACAAGAGAGTACATGTGTCTCTGTCTCTCCTTCCCTCTGTGTAGCTCTGCCTTTCAAATAAATAATTTTTTACAAAAGAAAACATGATGATCTTTTCCTCATAAAAAAAACACTTGCAAATATTCGCCTTTATAATTTCCATAAACTATCACAGGTCCCAACTTAAAAACAGCAGAACACCTGATCTAGGCTCTTTTAAAATGTTTGACTATAAAAGCAAAACATTGGTATATTTCCTATTTCTGCATGTTCTTATTTTGCTTTTAAGATCCTATATGGACTTCCTGAAATATTTTTAGTCCCAGCACATTTGTCTTAAGACATCACAAACTATCAATCACCTGTTCATCATAAATGCTAACACAATATGTTGGGTCTTAGAATCTTTGTCCTAGGAATTTAGGACCAGAAAGACCCAAGAAGATCTGAGTCTTTAGTATAAAACAAGCTTTGGGTTAAACTGCAGTTTTTATATAACAGCTCATCTCTTTCTGATATGTTAAAAACTAGTTTTACATAAGATTCAGTAATGTTGAGTTTATTTTGAGCTCCTATACAGAGAATCCATCACTGTTCATACACATAGTGCCTGAGAAGCCTTTAAAAGCTGCCAGTCAGTCATCCATGGTACTCTCAGCACACCTGATGGCATGGTTCAAGACTGCAAGTGACCATGGACAGTACACCTTTTTCTTACTATTCAAGTGAAGAATTAGTCCAAGAAATTTATTGATGACATTGTGGATAAGAATACAGGCAAAACATTCCTGATTGGTACAATTAACACCTAAAGTGAGCAGGAACTTTTGTGTAAGGATGTCTTAACTATCCTATCGGGTTTTTCCTGGGCACTGATTAGGAAAGGCAAGTTGACAAGGCTCAGGGCTTCCCCTTTAGAACAGATTTCAGCCATTCTGATGATGTGACGATGTGAGGCCACAAAGGTGCTCATTACCTATGCAGGACCAAGCTCTTAGAAATGACAGAACAGTGAAAAATACTTTGCATCCAAGTTTATTATGGACATGTTCAAATGTAGGTAGATTTGTGCACAAAGTCAAAATAAAACAACCCCAAAATACAGACAGCCCAAGGACCATGAAATGCTGGCTATTTATAAGATTCTATTATTGTGTTTGCTTTGGCAATAAAACAGTGTAATTAACCTGGTAGAAAACTTTAAAGTAAGTATAATCTGCTTCCTGTGGGTTTTTGGTAGGCCAAATACCATTCTTTGGATCTAATGGCTTTTTTTTTCTTCCTGTAGAATCCATGCCCCCTTTGTGAAGAAGCCAAGGAAATACTGGAGCCTTATAAGCACAGGGTAACAGAATACAGCATGGTTTTCATGTACAGGGCAAATAGTACACATAGGAATAAAGCATTTGCATGGATCCTTTAAGAAAAGAGATTAAATGATTTTTCATTTAAATTTTCTTTCTATTCTTCAGAGAGAGACTTGTGCTGATTTCCATAAAACTCATTACCCCTAAGTGTTTTCCTCTGAGCAATAACTGGTTTCCTAACTCTGACTCTTAATATGAGTCAGTGTTAACTAGCAGGTGCAGTGTCCATGCTTGCTTTAAATTTTTGTCCCCATCCATTTTTTTTCTCATTTTCAAATTTTCATGGATGTATTTTCAGGTAGGAAACCAGCACACTTTTGTCATTGTTATAACACAAACACTTTTGTCCTAATTCTCAGGTAGCTTCCCATTTGAGAAACATTTAGTTTCACTGGGAACCAAGCAAAATAGGTGGGTCAGAGAAGTAGCAATATTAGGAAGTAGGGAATATAATAAAACTGGTGACGTTATGGAAATGAGGGGTGTAAGACAACGGTGAACCTCGAAGTAAAAAATGACAACCATAACAAAATACCACCAGCATTGGAGATTGTGGATCAGTTTATCACTGTAGTTACAGCACTGCTTCATGTTCTCTAAAATTCAAAGATTTGGTCTGTGTTTCAGTTTATTTTACAGGAGGTGGATATCACACTGCCAGAAAACTCTGCTTGGTATGACAGATATAAATTTGACATTCCTGTCTTTCATTTGAATGGCCAGTTTCTGATGATGCATCGAGTAAACACCTCAAAACTTGAAAAACAGCTCCTGAAACTCGAGCAGCAAGATACTAGTGGCTGACTAATGCCCTCATGCTTTTCCACCCTCTCTGACCATAAGGCTCATTCCTGAGTAAATGACCACAGCCACACACTCCTGCTGTTGCTTTCACAGAACACAGAGGATGTTCTGAACTCAGTTTAGGGCCAAATACATGTTGATATTCCTCTTCTGATGGTTGGAAATGCTCGTGTGGGAACTGCTTGCTTGTTGGCATTTTCTAGAATAAGAAGAATGTGTTGGCAGGACAGGCATGATGGAAAGAGGAAACAATCCATTTTTTTTAATTTATTTTCCCCCCTTGTATAAGCATGGAAGCACTTCCCATGCACTGGTCAGTGCCATTTGTAGGAAGGTGAATATGTGTCCTTTCTGCTGCCCTAGAGAGTTTTTGGGTGAAGGAATAGATGATTTTTTGTGCACCAGATAAAGTGAAATGTGAATTGTTAATAACCCTGCAGTCAATAAAGGGACGTTCTAGCAAATACATCTGCCTGGAGCCTATTTTACTGGGATTTAATAATGCCTGTTTAAAATTAGCACTCATTTTTGTTGGGTAGAAAAGAATAATTATCTTAGCAAAAGAGGCTTCATTTGAAAAAAAGACAAAAGAAAAGATTTAACCCCTAAAAACATGTGCTTTCCATATGGTTGGTAAATTGAATGGTACTATTTGAAGATTACCTTTGATAGTTATTCAGTCATCATCAATTGGATAACTCTTAGAATAATTTTATCCACATTTAAAAACTTGAGGAAGATTAACTTCTAATGCTAACTGGACAGATAGGTCACCATTTTATATAAAGTATTAAAGATGTACTTATACATTCTTGTTTGTATTTAGTTAGGTTCAGCCAATATAGAAATGACTTCATTTAAAAAAAAATACCTCTTCCTCTCAAAATGACATCAGTACAGGTCCATCTTCAGTTAAATTCTTTCATGAACCATTTGAAATGAATTTGGTATTGTGAGCTATTAGATTTTAAGTTGATTGGTATGATGTAGTCTTAGCAATTCTGACATGTTAAAAGGAGCCAACCTCATGTAGTCTCAGTTCCCTCATTTCATGTATGAGGAAGAGTCTGAAATTCAGAGGGTAACATGAATTTAGGACAAGGTCACCCAGCCAGTCAGCTGGGGAGCCAAGTCCTATCTACAACTCTAGACTCCCTGTAGGTCCTCACTGTGTTATATCACAGACAGCCTCTTCAGGCTCTTCTGAATCCAACACAAGTTTACAGCCCTTCAAAGTAATAACAAATAAAAACCTTACAGTTGAATAGCAACAGTATGTATAATTTACAATCTTCTGGAACACACCTCATTTGATATAATAAATATTCATTGAGCCGGTGGGAGGCAGAATTCTAGGAGGAACCCAATAAACCTGAGCCTTGTACAATTCCCTGTCCTTTGAGAGTGGGTGGAAGCATCATTGCTGTGATTAAGTCAGGTTCTGTGACAACACAGAGATTACCACAGGCAGACCTGCTCTCACCTGATGAGCCCTTTGCAAGTAGAGTTCCTCCCTGTCTTGTCTTTATCTGCCTTTCAAGTTAATGGAAACTACATAAATGATACAAGCAGAGTTCTCTCTGCCTAGTTGCAAAGAGGGAATCACAGAGATGTGCTCCAGCAAACATCTATGTTGTTTACTGCCATAAGAGGTCAATGCCAGAAGTTATGGTTGGCCTTGAGGAACTGAGAGTAACTCTTAGCCAACAACTAACAGGAATATGAGGTCATCAGTCCCATAGCTTTATGGCAATAAGTTCTGTAGCCATCAGCAAGCTTAGAGGAGGACCCTGAGCACCAGATGAAAACTTGAGACCTGGCCAACAACTTGATTTCAGCTCATGGAGATTTTGAATCTAACCAATCCACATCTAGTCTTCAGATCTGCAGAAACTGTAAAATGAAACTATGCTGTGTAAAGCTGCTAAATTTATAGTAAAACTGCTAAATATCTTAACACATCAAAAGAAAACTAATACACATCCTTATGATACCAAAATACAGTGGCAGGTGATAAGGATATAAGAATGAAGACATCATCTTTGCCTTTGAGGCATTCAGTGTCTCAGGAGGAGCAGAGAGAAGCAAGTTAATAAAGCACAGCCATGTGGTGCAGGGATGGCTGGAACTGAGATGTGCAGAGTGGTCCATCAGTCAGCTGGGGAATACAGCAAGAGAGCTGCATAGAGCATTAGACCTAAGGTAAGTGTTGAGGATGGACTACAAGTGATGGGAGGGAGATGAAGGTGAGCGTTGCAAGCTACCCTGAGGGAACAGCATCTGTCAGTTCAAGGTGAGGGTGTGCAGTGATGGGGCATGGCAAACAAATGATAGGCAATTTTGGGTTTTTTAAGATTATTTATTTATTTATTTATTTATTTTTGAGAGGCAGATTTACAGAGAGAAGGAGACACAGAGATCTTCCATCCATTGGTTCACTCCCCAAATGGCTGCAACAGCTGGAGCTGAACAAATCCAAAGCCAAGGGCCAGGAGTTTTTTCTAGGTCTCCCATGTGGGTGCAGTTTTGCTTGTGACAGAGAATTCTATCCACCAAACAAGTTAAAAGGACCATGGAAATGGAAATTAGAATGCTCACAACAATCCTGACACCCCCTGGTCTTTTGTTTTGTTTTTTTTTTGTTTTGTTTTGTTTTGTTTTTTGCTAAACAGCAGGAGAAATCCCTCCAATGAATACATGTTAGAGGGATATGTTTATTTACATCTGCCATATATAAAGATGTTTGCCGGATGTGTCCCATCAAGTACATTTTTTATTTTTAAATGAGTTCAGTTTTAAACCTTATTTATTTCCATTTTATTTGAAAGGTAGACATGAATATATCTTCTGTCTACTGGTTCACTCCCCAAATGCCCATAAACAGGTTGGCCTGGGCCAGGTAGTAGCCAGGAGCCCAGAATTCAATCTGGGTCACCCATGTAGGTATAGGAGCCACCACTTGCTTCAGAAAGGTGGAGTCAGAAGTGGAACCAGACTTGAAGCCAAATACTACAACATTCAATGAGCATCCCTAAGCAGAATTTTAACCACTGTGTCAAATGACTAGTCCCACAGGATATGATTATATCTGCCCAATGCTGTTTTTCATCTGTAAGTCTTCAATAAAATTGTGTATTAATTCTTATGAATCCCAGAAATCTCCAGCCATTCCTCTTTTTCCCAACATCTGGGAAAATGAAAGCAGATATTGGGAAAGTGGCATCGAAAATGTGGTTTGATTTCATGTTGACAAGTACTAGAAAGTATTATTTCATTTATTATGGTCAGTTTCATGTGATATTTGTAGAAACAATTACTTGTAGGGATTTTTTTTTTCTGTCCTCAGGGATCAATTTGTTCTCATACAAAGACTGATTTTGACAAAGGAAAAAGAAATACAAATTTTCAATTCTTTTTCTTAATTTGAATTATTTAAAGAATGGGATAAAAACTGCACTTGGGGCTGCCATTGTTATACTTCAAGCAGTGACAGGGGTCCCTTTCTTCACTTTTTAAAAAGATTTTATTTAATTGAAAGACTAAGAGAGAGAAAGAGAGAAATGGAGAGACAGAGGCCCTCCACCTGCTGCTTAACACCCCAGAAGGCCACAATGGCCAGGGATGGGCCAGGCTGAAAATGCCAGGAGCATCTTCCTGTTCTTTCACATGGGTACAAGGATCCAAGAACTTGGACCCTCCTCTGCTGCTTCCCCAAGCTATTAGCAAGAATCTGGATGTGAACTGGAGCTTCTAGAACTTGAACTGGTACCTATATGAATGCCAGGGTTGCAAGCAGTGGCTTAACCTCTTGACACCACAACACCAGACACTTCCAGGGGTCTCTTCCTTCCAGAATCTCATAACAGTATCAGGATGTACCGGAACACATAGTTCTGTGACCAGTTTATTGCAAGAGGCTGAAATTCACATACACTGGAATTTTTTGATTTTACTTTTGTTGTTGTTGTTTTTGCTTTGCAAATAAGGCAGCGATCTCATGGACATCTGACAGCAAGAATCACGGTACAGCCAGGCTTTAGGAAGTATAACTGCAGAACTACCAGACACTGAGACAGCACCTCTCTCCCAGTCCCTGGACTTCTTTCCTGTCCTGCTGTCTCACGGTTCATCAGGATCTGCTTCCTCATAACTGCACCTCGCTCATGCCCAACATTCCCTCTTGGTTTTCTGATTAGCAGAACAGAGGCCTGAGCTTCTCAGCTCCTCTCATCCCCTCTGTTCTTAAATCCTAACACAGGAATTTTACTCAGCTTGTACTTTACAACCAGTCATGCAATTCATAAATTGGGTGACCAAACCTACAGAATAGACTACCACTTCCAGGACCTGGCCCCTGGGCTGTGGGGCCTACATCATGTGTTAGAGTAAGTCACAGTCACTGCACAATCATCAGAGAATGAAAGCAGGGCACGCAGTAACCCCTGACTGCTACACACCCAGAAATACTAAGAGTAAAGCACTCTAACCTATTCAAGAGAAGTTAAAAGGAACAGTTGTGTAAGTTGATTTAAAGCCTACTCCACAAAAGTGACAATGACCTGAACAGAGCAGTGGAAGTTACACAGATATCAGGAGATGCTTGAGAGTGAAACTGACAGACCTTCATGGCTGATTGCACTAAGAAGCAGGGAGTTATTGCTTCAATTCTTGGATAAACCCTGCTAGTTGCTGCTTGAGACAGAGAATATAAAAGGAAAGGGAAGTTAGTGTTGGCTTGTGCTTGCTTAGTGGATGAAAAAGAAGAGGCATCATGAATTTGCCATGCTTGTGGGATATCCAGATAAAGATTTTAGTTGGATGTGTAAAACAGATCTGGGCTTAAGGTGTAAATTTGCAAGCCCTTAGAGTATTTCTGGAATTATATTCGCCTACCATATGAGGAGAAAATCAGGCTGCTTACAAACCCTGAGATCATGGTATTGACTTATGGGAATGGAGGAAGTTGCCAGCAAAGTAGAATGAAAATGTGGAAGAACTAGCATTGGGAGAAACTCATCCAATTTCTATTGCATGATGCCTTTTGTGATTTGATAACACCAGACACTATTCTAAGCAGTGGGGATAGAGTGACAAACAAACAATACAGTCTGGACTCCTACTCTCAGGGGCATGCACCCAACAGGGAGAAACAGACATCAGATATCAATCACATCAGTGGAAAATAACCACATCTTGAAATTCAGGGGAGCAGTTCCTTCTGGAGTCATTGATAGCAACAAATTATCAAGAGAGTCTAAGTACTGAGAAGCAGATACCAGGTTTGGAAAACAGGCAATCAGGGAACTGTGTTGTAGTAAGTATGTGGCTTAAGCTGTTGCCTGCAAATCTGGCATCACAAATAGGTGCCAGTTCAAGTCCCAACTGTTCTACTTTCTATCTAACTCACTGCTAATGCACCTGGAAAAGTGCCAAAAGATGGCCCAAGTGTATGGAACCCAGCACCCATGTCAGAGACCCAGATGAAGCTCCTGGCTCCTGGCTTCTGCCTGGTCC